AGCCATCCACTCAGGGCGTGATCTGTGACACCTGAAAAGTGAAGTCCTGTTGCACCCCAATTCTTTTTATTTCGAGGCCTTACATCACTTTTAGGAGGAAATTGAACAAAATATCATGTTTAATAATTCCATATAGGAATAGTATTTTAGATGTGTGGCTCTAGCCATGTCCTTATCGACAGAGGAGGCAGTCATTGGACGGCCATCTCTGTTTTCTCACCTACCTCCTGCTGCTCATAGCCAGGAAATAATTTCCTGACATTTCAAAGTTTAAGAAAACAAAAAGGCTGGGCGCGGTGGCTCATGCCTATAATCCTAGCACTCTGGGAGCCCTAGCGGGCCAGATTGCTTGAGGTCAGGAGTTCGAAACCAGCCTGAGCAGAGCGAGACCCCATCTCTACTATAAATAGAAAGAATTAATTGCCCACTAATATAGTATATATATCATATATATATATATATATAATTACTATATTCCGGCCATGGTGGCACATGCCTGTAGTCCCAGCACTTGGGAGGCTGAGCAGCAGGATCGCTTGAACCCAGCAGTTTGAGGTTGCTGTGAGCTAGGCTGAACCCATGGCACTCACTCAGCCTAGGACAACAAAGCAAGACTCTGTCTCAAAAAAAAAAAAAGAAAAGAAAAGAAAAGAAAAGCAACAGTGGAATGAGTGGACTTTGAACTAGGAGACCTGGTTTGGGCCCTGGTGCTGCATGTGCTGCATGCACCTACCATTTGTACACTGCAGTCTTACAGAGTTTCAGTTTTCTCATCTATAAAAATGAGAATAAGACCATCTACCTGCCAAGGCTGTTGTGAGGATTAAATAAGATGATTTATATAAAAGTATATAACAAACAGTGCGTGACATATCATAAATACAAAAGTTAAAAACAAAGCCTTGTAGATACATAGCATATTTTACACCTTTTAATTTAATAAGTAAATTTCTATCTATTAATTTTATCCTCACAATCATCCCATCCCCAATTCACAGATAAGGAAACTAGGATGAAAAAGGTCAGAAAGAACCTGCTTAAGGTCCAAGAGCCAGGGGTAGTGCCAGATCCAGAACATAGGTTATTGGTTCCCATGCCAGTGCTGGTTTCACTACCCTCCCTGGTCTAATGAATATTAGCATGATACCTTTAGAACTGTTATTTCTAAGGCAACAAAATATAGTTACAACTAAATTCTGATGATCATTGTTTCTCATTGAAAAAATTATTTTTATATCCTTCATATTTCTGGAGGAAGAATTTCTTTACAAATGCTCATTTTGAAAGTTTGGGCCAAAGAACATATATTTTAAATTCCAATTTTTATATAAATATATATATGGGCTCCCATCCCAATTAATTCTATGATTAATTATAAAATTTGTTTACTAACTTTTTTGTTTTTTTGAGACAGAGTCTCACTCTGTAGCCTGGGCTAGAGTGCCCTGGCGTCAGCCTAGCTCACAGCAACCTCAAACTCCTGGGCTCAAGCAATCCTTCTGCCTCAGCCTCCTGAGTGGCTGGGACTACAGGCATGCGCCACCATGCCCGGCTAATTTTTTCTATATAGTTTTAGTTGGCCAATTAATTTCTTTCTATTTATAGTAGAGACAGGGTCTCGCTCTTGCTCAGGCTGGTCTCGAACTCTGACCTTGAGCTATCCGCCCACCTCGGCCTCCCAGAGTGCTAGGATTACAGGCGTAAGCCACCTCGCCAGGCCTAACTTTTTTTTTTTACATAATGTGGCCTTCGTTTCCCCAAAAGCATCCCTTCTTTCCCTCTGTCTTACATATGAGGTAAGACAGACAGGCATTCCTCTGGAACTGTTAAAAGTGGTACTGAGAAGCTGGACCCATTTTTTCCACTTAAAGTCTTTTAATGGTTCACAATATCCTACCTCAGGGTCCTCAGCATCAATCTGGTTTAGGTGGATATCTTCTGTCGTGAGCCACTGGAAAACAACATCCTGGGTTCAAAAAATAAATACAGAATTAGACAGTTGAGAAATCTAAGGGTCAGGATTAGATAATTAAATCAAGAAAAATGATAAAGGGAAAAAGACTAAACCTGTAATTTAAAAAAGGGTACCTATACTTGGAGACTTTCTGTTTAAAAAATAAAAAAAATTAAAAAAAATAAAAAAAATAAAAAAGGGTACTTAGCCTTGTCTTAATGAAATCATATGAGAACTTAAAGGTTTTCTTCACCCTAATCTAACCTTTGTTATGAGAAATTTATAACTTATCTTAAAGCATTCTAACATCTTACCACAAGCCAAAATTTATCAAAACTTGTTCACAATTCCAAAGTAATCCCTGTTTAATGTGATGACAGTGTGAACTTAAAAGCAAAACTTTTTAAAAGTAGAATATCTAGATCTCTCTTTAGTGTGTAGAGATACTGAAACTTCATGTAGATTCCACAGAAATAAGATCTTAATTTCCTACGATTACAATTGTAAGGCTGAATGAATTTATTTCATTAATGAAAAAGCTTAGCAGCAGCTTCTTCCTCTAAGAGGTGAGTCATTGGAATCACACCAATGCACAGCTCTGGCATGCACTATAAACATGTCTTCATAAGATATGCTCTCTTTACATTATTTTGACAGAGTAATTGCAATTCCTTTACTTTATTCACCACATGAATCGGTGACAAGTCCTGTACATAAACCCTCCTGACTACCATCATGCCATCAGCCCCTCATCTCCATTCACACCTTCACTACCTTAATTCAGGTCCTCATCCCTTCTTGCCTGGCTGACTCCACCTGCTTCCTACTAGCTCTATCCTGCCTCCCCCTTTCCACCTGCCATACAGAAAAGTCTTTCTAAAAACACAGATCTGACTGTGTCCAAGGCTGCTAAAGACCCTGCAAGGAGTCCCCAGGGCTTTTAGCATGAAGTTCAAGCTCCTTGGCCTCATATGTGAAGCCCTTATGGAGCCTGCCCCTCACCTCTTTTCCAGAGTCGGCTCCTATCCCAACTCGGCACACTCAAGAAATGTCCTTCTGGACTCACTAATTTCTCTCTCTCTTGCTCTCTCTCAATATATACTATAAACTTTTTCAAAGCAGAGACTATGCCTGACTCAACTTTGTATTCTTAGTGCCTGCCATATAATGGGTTCTGAATAGCTGGTTTTAAAAGACTAAATAAACTTATCAGTATTTTCTAAATGATGCGAAAATCATACTTACACATTATACATTAATGTGGTGAAAGAAAAAGTTTACCATGATTTTGCTGTTTTCTTCTTTATCCAAATATTGGTCACTGAACATGTGACATGAGCCAAGCACTGCCAGCTTTCCACCTTGGTTCTATTGATAACAAAGTAGTGTCAGATACTCAGATCCCCAAATCCCATATATCCTAGTTCCCAAACACTTATCATTGGAATCATGTTAGCAACTGTCTTGTATACCAAAAAGTACCAATTCACATCAGGATTTTAATAGTACAGCCTAGAAATATCAACTATGATACTACCACACTTTAACCCGCCTCTCATTTTAGACACTTTTATATTTTTCTATTTGACTTTAACAAAAAGTAATATAAATTGATTCTAGAGGATTTTCCCATTGTTAGTTATCTTATAAATGAAGATCGTAATTTTTGTTTTTTTTTTTGAGACAAGGTCTGTCTGTCACCCAAGCTGGAGAACAGGAGTGCAATCACATCTCACTGCGGCCTCGAACCCCTGGGTTCAGGCAATCCTCCTGCCTCAGCCTCCCCAGTAACTAGGATTACAGGCACATGCCACCATGCCTGGCTGATTTTTTAAATTTTGTAGAGACAGGGTCTCACTATGTTGTCCAGGCTGGTCTTGAACTCCTGGCCTCAAGTGATCCTCCTGCCTCAGCCTCCCAAACAGCCACCACACCCAGCCAAAGATCATAATTTTAAGGGAAAAAGAAGATAAACCCAAAGATAATCGTACAGTTAAAGACACTTATGAGTACTAATATTTAAGGCCAGGTGCAGTATGGCTCATACCTGTAATAATAGGTGTACATTAGGTATAATACATTTCCTAGTGCCATTATAACTGTGCCTGTTCCCTGTATGTGATATAGCCTAAGCCAGAGATGTCAAGAGATATAAATACACAAGTTCTACAAATGAAAAAAAAATGGCGAAACAAACTTTGACCTGTACCATATTAAAAGCAAATGCTTCATAGGAAAAATAGCAATACTATTACTTTGCTATAACCATTGAAAACAGAGAACAGGAAATCAATTTGGTGGAAATCTAAAGAAAGAAAAGGGAAGTGACTAAAAGAACTACACTGTGATTTGAATTCATACACGTGAGCAAGTACAGGAAAGGAAGTTAGAGTAAAGGACTTTTTTTTTCCTACTATGACTAACAGTTAGGCTTATATTTTCTTTCCTTTTTTTCTTTTTCCTATCTTGTTTATTTCAAATAGACTACAGATCTTCTTTTAATCCTTTTATTGTCCTGAAAGATTCTACCATTGTCTTCTGCTTCCTTTTCCAGCCATTGTCTGTTATTTGTTCCAGTTCAGTAAAAGTATGGACTGACTTTCTCCTTCAATATTAACAAGTCTATTTCAGTAAACCAAAGACCTGGAAAGGATAATGATAAGCTCAATGAAGGCAATGGCCCTGGGCAAGGAGGCAAAACCTTCCAGTGCTCACCCAGCCCTGCTCAGGGTTTCCAGGAGGATGGAGAGTAGCCCCTCTTTGGTATCACTGTTTCATCTCACAAACTTAAGGGTGATGGGCAACAATCTCTCTCAAAGATTGTGTTTATTAGGCAGCACTGAAATCCTATATAGATAAAATGGGCTTTATTTTTTTTATTTTTATTTTTTGAGACACAGTCTCGCATTGTTGCCAGGCTAGAGTTAGTGCCATGGCGTCAGCCTAGCTCACAGCAACCTCAAACTCCTGGGCTCAAGCAGTCCTGCTGCCTCAGCCTCCCAAGTAGCTGGGACTACAGGCATGCGCCACCATGCCTGGCTAATTTTTTCTACATATATTAGTTGGCCAATTAATTTCTTTCTATTTATAGTAGAGACAAGGTCTCGCTCTTGCTCAGGCTGATTTCGAACTCCTGACCTCGAGCAATCCACCCGCCTCGGCCTCCCACAGTGCTAGGATTACAGGCATAAGCCACTATGCCCAGCCAAAATAGGCTTTAAATGGCTAGGCAATGAGAAGATGATAATCTCATGAGTTCTAGATGAGTCATCACACTTAGCACAGAATTCTGCACTTGATGGATGCTCCATAAAAATCAACTGATTAAGCCAGGTAAAATCTGTATGCACACTTAAGAAATCCAGTAATCGTAGTATTAAAATACTTGAGAGCCCTTAAAATAGTGTCTCATTTACTTTTGTGCCTATGAACAGTTTACATAAACTTTTTCTACATCTTGAAAATAATACTTTAATTTTAAAACAACATTTCCAGCTGTTTGGAATAGGCTCTCTTAATAGCCATTATGAATTTTGTTTAACTCTTTCAAACACAGTATAAACATTTACTTCTTAAAAAATGAGGTCAGAGTTTTTAAATAAGGAAGGAAAGATAATACCTAGATTCCACAAAGAAAAATAGGATTGTGAGGAGCTAGAGAGACATCTATCTAGGTCCCTGGGGAAAAAACTCGAAAGTCAGCTGCTGAATTCTATGTCTTAGTGAACAGAGGAAGGTAAATTAAGCAAAACGTGAATTAAAAGACAGTGGGAAACTGGAGTCATAATGAGGTGGGAACACCTGTCCCCACATTTCTGTGGGGTTTACAAGATGAGAATTGGACAACTAATCCTCTGATATGCTTTCCTGGGATGAGCTAAAACAACAGCAGTATGATGCTGTGTAACTGTGTGTCATTTTTTAACTCCCTCTATTCCTGAATGAGTTTTTTTACATTGAGGGTGAGAGCCATAGTCCCAAACAGACAGGATGAAAAGTTATTTTAAGAGTTATAATATAGGTAGCTTCATGCTACAGTGGGGAAGCTTTGGATTTAGAATAATAAGAGCTAGGTTTAGGCCTTGACTACATCAACTACTGGATGATCCACTGTTTCCCCATAAGTAAAATGTAGATAACTGAAATACTGGTGTGAAAAACAAAGAGAAACATATGCAAACCCTCTGGACATGGTAAGTTTTTATTATTTCAACAATAAAAATAACATCTACACCTGTATCTAAGAAAGGTTGTACCTTTGAGTGATAGAAAGCCAGAATGGGTCTGTTAAGTGGGAAGCAGACAGAGCCTGTAGACAGAACAGCCACTGCTGGTTTCATGACACTCAATGTGGCACCAAAAGGATAGACAAAGGTGAGAGCCCTGTAAGAAATTAAAGAAACATATTCCAATTTTTAAAAAATAAATACTAAATTTCTGAAAAATAATCTTCGTGTTTCTTGAGCAATGCTCTTTGATCCACCATCAAACCCAAAATTTCTTCTAAGCTTTGTTTTGTTTATTCAAAATTGGGACAACTCTAGCTACAAGTTTAATACAGCATTTTAACAAACATGAATGTAAATTAACAGGAAAGTGTAAATGAGTGTAACTGGGAGAAGTAGCTTCTTATGGATGGGGGAGGAAGAAGATGGTCATCCCCATCCTCAATAATTTGAAATGCCACTTTTACTATACACAAATAACCCCCATCCTCCAAATATGTTTTAGGTCTGATTCTAACCTGCATTACTTATGTTTTACTATTTCTGCTCTAGTACTATGTTATTTTAATTACTAAAACTTTGTAACATGCTTCCACATACAAAATTTAATCTTCTATGGGGTAAAATACCCCGAAGTAAAAAGGGAAGCTGGAAAAAATATTTGCAACACATAGAAGTCTTATAAATGCATAAGAAAATACAAACCATCAATAGAAAAATGGTTAAAAAGCAATGAACAGGGTCGGGTGCGGTGGCTCACGCCTGTAATCCTAGCACTCTGGGAGGCCGAGGTGGGTGGATTGTTTGAGCTCAGGAATTCAAGACCAGCCTGAGCAAGAATGAGACCCCATCTCTACTAAAAATAGAAAGAAATTAATTGGCCAACTAAAACTATATATAGGCCGGGCACTGTAGCTCATGCCTGTAATCCTAGCACTCTGAGAGGCCGAGGCGGGTGGACTGGCTCCAGGCCAGGAGTTCAAAAACCAGCCTGAGCAAGAGCAAGACCCTCATCTCTACCTATAAATAGAAAGAAATTAATTGGCCAACTAATATACATAGAAAAAAAAAATTAGCTGGACATGGTGGCGCATGCCTGTAGTACCAGCTACTCGGGAGGCTGAGGCAGGAGGATTGCTTGAGCCCAGTAGTTTGAGGTTGCTGTGAGGCTAGGCTGACGCCCACAGCACTCACTCTAAGCCTGGGCAACAAAGCGAGACTCTGTCTCAAAAACAAAACAAAACAACTATATATATATATAAAAATTAGCCGGGCATGGTGGCACATGCCTGTAGTCCCAGCTACTCAGGAGGCTGAGGCAGGAGGATTGCTTGTGACCAGGAGTTTGAGGTTGCTGTGAAGTAGGCTGACACCATGGCACTCTAGCTCAGGCAACAGAGTGAGACTCTGTCTCAAAAAAAAAAAAAGCAATGAACAGGCAATTCCAGAAATAACATCAGCCAATAGACTTTAAAGCCATCCCATGCACTAATAATCAAAGAAATATAAATTAAATAAAGAACACCATTTTTTACTAGAATCCTCCATACCAGTAAGAGAGGAAAAAGGCCGTGTTCATAGGGACCATAAGTCTACACCCTGTCTGAAGAGTAATTTGGTAAAATGTCACACTTGCGCAACCGCATCAGGGGAAGACCCTGGACCCAGAAAATTCCAATGCTAAAAACTATCCTACTAAAATATTAGCATGAGTGCATGGAAAATCGCTACATACAAAGACATTCAACTTGTGCTTTGTTATTTAAATATACACAATATAAAAATTTATATAGAGACAAGTAGTACAGACTCTAGAGCAGACTGCCAAGACCAAATCTAAGTAGTCAAGTGAATTTGGGGCAACACTCCTGAAACTCATCTCTAACCCTTCCAGGGTTGTGAGGATTACATAGGTAATAAATGTCTGTCACACAGTAAATGCTCGATAAACATCAGGTAGTATTATTAAACACAAACATTGAAACTCACGCAAACGTCAATAATAAGGGGTCAGGTAGAAAAATGTACGATATTTCCAATTTAATCCAGTCATTAAAAAAGGAAAAAGTACTTACCCTACTGACTCTATATATGAAAAAAAATCTAGAAATCTAAATACTACTCGTTAACCATCATCTTCCAGGGGAGGCAAGTCTCTTGTGCAGAACTTCTACCTTCTTCCCTTTGAATGGTTCACATATTTTTTTGGTGAGAATTATTTTTGTAATGCAGAAACACAAACTCTTTTCATTTGGAAAAAAAAACTCTCAAAATGATAAACATATCTCTCAGGGTAGGCCTCAGAAAAGCATTACTCACTGGGCATTGTTGCCACTGTTTTCCTCGTCAATGATTCCAGGCACAGCCTTTCCTGCCCAGCTCGGCTAATTTCCCTTAAAGAAAAAAGTAAAATCTAGTAAACGAAAATCTGGGAATTCACACTGCATTCATTAACATAGTATATATGAACGAGATGCAAGAATTTTATAGACTTCAAGATATATATATTTTTTAATTAAAGTACACCCTTACCTCTCTTAGAACGCTTGCAAAAGTTAACATTAAAATATTGGAATCAGTTCTCCTCTTTCTTGAGTTTTTTTGTTTGTTGTTGTTTGTTTTGGAGACAGAGTAGTCACTCTGTTGCCTGGGCTAGAGAGCCCTGCGTGCCAGCCTACCTCACAGCAACCTCAAACTCCTGGGCTCAAGAGATCCTAGTGCCTCAGCCTCCCAAGTAGCTGGGACTACAGACATGCGTCACCACCTGCCTGCTAATTTATTCTATGTATATTTTTAGTTGTCCAGCTAATTTCTTTCTATTTTTAGTAGAGATGGGATCTCACTCTTGCTCAGGCTGGTCTCGAACTCCTGAGCTCAAACAATCCACCTGCCTCAGCTCCCAGAGTGCTAGGAATTTATAGGGCATGAGCCACCATGCTAGCCCTTTCTTGAATTTTCAGAAAAGGGTCCATATTCTAGGCCCACATTCTAAACTCTATCCTCAGAGCCAGCAGAATGCCTGCCACATAGCAAGTTCAAGCACAGAATGAATAATTTTGAACATGAGAGAAGCTCACAAAAGGCATCTGATGTTGCTTCCTCAGACATTCATTTCCTACTTCCCCAAAACCCCAGATTTATTTTTAGGATCCAGATCAGAGAAAGCTCACTTCATCCCAGGCTCCAGGAGACAACCTAGCTACGCCATCAGGACAGTTTGGGATGGGCACTGTGGCCTAGGGCAGCTCAAAAAGAGCAAATCTCCTCATGCCTGTAATCCTAACACTTTGGGAGGCCGAGGCGGGAGGATCGCTTGAGGCCAGGAGTTTGAGACCAACCTGAACAACATGGCAAGACCCCATTTCTACAAAAAATAGGAAAATGAGCCGGGCATGGTGGCACATGCCTGGTAGTCTCAACTACTCAGGAGGCTGAGGCAAGAGGATCACTTGAACCTAGGAGTTTGAGATTGCAGTTAGCTATGATGGCACTACTGTACTTTAGCCAGGGTGATAAAGGGAGACTCTGTCTCAAACAACAAACAAATCAACAAACAAACAAAAACCAACAACAACAATAAAAAAAATACCAAAAAAGAGTAGATCTCAGGACTACTCTTGCTGGGAATGCTGGAACCAAGGCATGCTCTCTTGCCCCAGATGGTGTGACATACAGATATGAACTTGGGAACTATTAAAACTATTCAGCCCCCACACACAGGATAACAGAGCCAAGAGAACTGAAGGGAAATGGAACCAGAGCCCTGATGATGTGACTCTTTCAGTCAATCCATACCCAAAGCCTGCCCCATTTCCGGGCTTTTCAAGTACATAAATCAATAAAGTCTTTTTATTGTTTAAGCCCACTTGAATAGAGTTTTCTGTCACTTACAACTGAAAGTATCCTGATCCTAATAAAAACGTGAATGTGAAGGTTTCAAAAGATGGAGAATATAATTTGATGAATGAGAAGTAGTAATAAAATAAAATAAAACAAAAAAGCAAGAAATGAAGAGGAGCAGTGAAAAGAATGTGTGTACAAGCCATATATGACAGACCCATAGCCAACATCATACTGAATGGGGAAAAATTGAAATCATTCCTACTTAGAACTGGAACCAGACAAGGCTCCCACTATCTCCACTTCTGTTCAATATAGTGCTGGAAGTCTTCAGCAATCAGACAGGAAAATGGAATTAAAGGTATCCAAATAGGGGCAGAAGAGATCAAACTTTCACTGTTTGCTGATGATATGATATTATATCTAGAAAACCCCAAAGATTCAACCAAGAAACTCCTGGAACTGATCAATGAATTTAGTAAAGTCTCAGGATACAAAATCAATACACAGAAATCAGAGGCATTCATATACGCCAACAACAATCAAATTGAGAACCAAATCAAAGACTCAATTCCCTTCACAATAGCAACAAAGAAATTAAAGTACCTAGGAATATACTTAACC